AATCTATCATAATTAATATATTTTATAGCCGGGTTCTCATGACTCGTGTATTTGACAAATAACTATATTATGTACCTACAAATAATCGAACATTGTCAATGTATTTTACGGATAACTCACCGGAATGTAGTGAATAACGAAAAACAAATAACAAATACCAAATATTTGTACAAGTACTTATACTATGTTTAAATAATATTTAGGTCTTATCGAATAGCGAATATTCGTCATGTAGGCACATACACCGTGTTAACCCGTCCTTATTGAATAGTTATAACTTTATAAGTTATTACTAAGAACCATTGTAGTTATATCTATCATATAATATATATACGTAAATAGTTGAAATTATAATATTGAATTACAATYTAAATAAATATTATATACAATATATACTAATAATTGACTTACAAATATGTATATTAAATCAGAAAACGTTTTTAAACGTAATTTATTTAATTAAACAGTTATTACACTGTACTCGTATGTAGGCATTAGATACTATCGTACTATTAAAATTTGTGTAATATTAAACTTAATTTGTTTTAACGGTTTGGAGTATCGATGGCTTTTGTATGGAACTTAATAACCAGTCGATTTTTTTTTCGTAATATTTTTCAAAATATTTTTCGACAGTCAACTATACGAAATTTAAGTACCGTCGTTTATGGATTTTGAAATCAAGTTGATAAACTTTTGCTTTAATATAACCGATATGCTTGACATTTAATCATTATTTTTCGTCACATAATAATATTTCTGTACGAAACATATTATTACCATTTCTCCTGCAAGATTCCATGTCGTTGATTAAGGTTTAAGGAGTATTGTGTAGGCAATCTTTTGTTTGCCCGTGTCATATGTGTAACTCGGTGTGTAGTTACTCGTTATTGTGTGTATCTAAATGTGTAATAGTTCACTATTATTAATTAATAAGAGTATTAATATTAGTATGAGTGAATTATTCAAATGAAGTGTTGTACTTGGTCGAAGATTCAGACACTTAATAAATAATAGTAGGTKTTAATACAGCAAGTACCTAGACCAATAATAGGCTATAAAAAAATAGCCTGTTTCTTATAACTAAATAAAATTGTTGTTATATAAAAATGTGTATCTAAGCAATTTTACCTACACTATTTTATTTCCGATACACACATATTCAAGTTTTTAAAGGTTCTACATTATATATATTATAAACAAAAATAGTTAGTATAAAGTTTAAAGTTTAAACACAAAAATTCGACTATCGAAATCGAATTATGTTATTATCACAGTTATTACCCACGCTTATAAATTATAATCATGGTATCGTTAGGATTAGTTTTTTTCCAACAATTTTTTGTTAACAGAATTTTTGGAAAAAAAACTGTTGACCACTTTACCAACATTTTTGTATAGGAGACCTGAAGATTGAGGCCATTGAGATTTGAGGGAGGTAAGAGGGGGGATCGCAAGTAAATAATAAAGGTCAGCAACATCAAAAATATGAATCAAATAACATTACTGCAGTGTAGTCCGTTAATATAATATTATTGTTTTAAGTGTATGATATATCTATCTGTTTGAAACTTGAACAGATATTATTTACTGGCCAGTTCGTGCATGGTGCATACTACACTAACATACTGTTGTATGACTTATTGTAGGTAATTAATAATGTTTTGATTGTCTAAATATAATATACGAAATAAACAAAGTGCGAAGTCTGCATAAATCAACATTAAACGACCAAATCATTCGAATAATATACACATTTTTAAGAATGTACAATACTGATATGTTAGTTAGCATTAATAAATAGTATAAAATTAATTGTGCAGAAACATAAYCTAGAAATTCGGATAATTTTAGTAATTTTACACCAGTTAAGATCAACAAATTTCTAGAATGTCAGTTTTTTCTCCTTCGATTTCGTCTGTTAAGCTTTAAATAACAATAATAATATGACTTTATTTCTTGTTTCCTTCGCGGTCGGTGTACCTATGCTTAACCGGTCAATCGATGATTATTATTGTAATACTAAATGGTTTATACCGTGATGTACACAGTCCACTACACACGCACCATGTGTATTATAGTAATGTAGTGTATAATAATATAAATATAAATAATACATTATTATTATTTTTATCGTTATATTTTTAATATATAGTGTACGAGAAGTGCACGAACCTATGCCCTCGACCACCTTCGTCACGCATATATCATTATTATAGTTGGATATGCACGTCACCGTGTTTGGTCACTTTTACGGGTTCGCGGTGGTGGCGGGTAATGGCCATCCAGACAAATCCTCTTTAGGAAACACGTGACGTATTAATTGATATGTTATTATTATATTATTAACGTGTGCACCGTGTAGCGGACACGACGATCGGACCTCGTTATCCGATCCCCGTGTCGCGTACCGGATTATAAACGGCGCTCAAGACTCAAGTCCTCATCGTCATCGTCATTATAATTATTATTAATAATATTAAACATCAGATAATAGGTACATACGATTAAATGAATCCAGCGCTGCTGCAACAGACTCTGGTGATAAAGGAGTGGGGCATAAGTCCACACTGTCGATACTTCGTTTAACGATACGTGTTCACCTCCCCTCACCACCGTTCAACGGTTCTCAGAAATCCTAAATTTCACACGTGCCATATTAATATGTCCGTGTACAAATTACATACTATACCTATAGTGATGTAAATTTGTATAATACAAATGTATAATATTGTATTATATACACGCTGTATAGAATTATTTTATACAATGGTATAAAATCTGTATAAAACTTTTATTTCCCTAAGAGGTAAAACTATTTGCTTTGCACATTGTCACATTGATATCAACTTTTACATGAGTTTCTAAAAAGATGATAACTTTTTTTTTTTTGTGAACTGACAACTAGAAACTTGTATATGCATAATACATTCTACTATTAAGAACTCAAGACTCAAAACTACGAAGTACTAACAACCATGATAAATAATTATTGTTACTTGATACAAGTTAGTAGTTACTATTATAGATTTTAGTGTAAACAAAGAATAAAAGATTAAAATGTCTTATTTGTATTAATAAGATTCAAG